AAGCCGGCGCCAACGACGTCTGACCTCACCGCGCCGACCGCGCGCCCGCGCACGCGCGCCTCTCGCCGGGCCCCGCCCCCGCGACGCCGCTCACGTGACCACGCCGTGCCGCAGTCGGGCGGGCGCGCGGGTCCCTTCCGTCCCGTCCCCACCGCCCTGGCGCGCCCCCTAGCGACGCGGGAAAGCGGGCGGGGCCGCCGGTGTCCCCCCGTCCCCACGCGTGGGGCCCGGCGGCGACACGGTCTCCCGGAGGGAAGCGGCGGCAAAAGCCCCGGCTTGGTGGCACCCGCGGGTGAGCGGGGAGGCATTGCCTTCCCCCCGGTCGGCTTCGGGGTCCCCCTGCGGGGACGCTCACCCACCCGGATTTGTCACTGCATGTGATTTCTTAGGATGGGGTCCCCCCCTCTGCCATGGCTCGGGGTACTGGGTACACTTGACCCGCCCCACACTGATAATAAACTGTTAATAAAATCATCAGAGAAGACCAAATCCGTGAGGTTTATTTGTGGCTCCCTCCCTCGTGTCCCAAAAGTTGCCAGACAAACAGAAAGATCTCTACAGTTAGCGTTTCCGAAAATCTCAAGGTGGTGTGGGTCTTGCTGAAATTTTACGGCCGAGCGGGTGCAGGGGGAAGGCTGGCCCCCTGCACCAGCCCATCCCAAAATGGCTCTTCCCAAAAGCCCTCTGGAGATCCAGCCTGGTGCTGGTACAAAGTGGGCACAGATCGCAGCAGGTTTGGGGTAAAAGCTCCATACAGCTCTTGATGGGCGTGAGACATTGGCAGGAGGTGGCCAGACACCAGACAGCTCCAGGCTCCAGGCTCTGCCAGTGCTGGGCCAGCTCTAGCCCTCCTGATGGCACCCAGCACCATCCCCAGCTTGCTCAGGACCAGGTCTCACCAGGCTTCCTCTACAGTTGGGGACCTACCCAGAGACTCCAGCCTGGCCGGGGGTTTTTAGAAAGGAGGAAACCTGCTGTGAGAGCCACCGGCAAGGCCAGGAGGCACATCCAGCACCAGCTGGAGGAGCCACTGGAGGAGTCATCTACCACCCGAGTTCTCAAGGGCTTCAGTGTCCGCTGCCACTGAGTCAGGATGGCATTTCTGGCCCCACTCCACTTTCCCCGTCCCACCAACCGGTACTGGTAGGGCGTGCAGGGGCCGAAGAAGATGGCCAGGGCCAGCCTGGGGTCTGTCAGGAGCAGCCTCAGCACGTTGGGCTTTACACCAGCACACGAAGCAATTTCATCAGTGTAGCTGATAAAACTAATCTTCAAGTTGTCCCTCTCGGATGGATTCCTTCAATGCACAGAAAAGAGACAAAATCAAATAACACAATCCCATCTTGGTTGCCAGCTCCACATAAAGCCAAAGTTCTGGCCTCAGATGTCAGCTGAGCCCCAAACTCTGGGACGAGATTCCTCAGCCCCAAATAAACCTAAAGGCACTGAAAGAGCCTCTGTGGGGTTGGTCCCCAGTAGTTACCTGGGGCAGGGAATAGGCAGACGCTTGTTTTGTCTCTGACACCTACTTGTGACCTCAAAAACAGTTCTAGCATAATAGTGCCATCATTACAATGCAACGAATACCCGTGCTGTGTCCTTCCCTGAGGTTCACAGGTGTGGATTTGGCCGATTTTGATAGGCAGAGGAGTAGACATTCACAGATAAGACTGCCAAGGGGACTGGGAGATGCAGAAAGCTTCCCACACTGGGGGAGACCTCCAGGATTTTTCTGCTTGAGTCCTCATCTCCCTCGCAGGAGGGAGGACGTGCTGAATCTACTTCTGTAGATTTGGGACAGCCTCAAGTTTAGCTCCATTTCACCCCAGACTCCTGTATTTCTGTGTAGTAGCATCATGTCTGCAACCACTGGGGCTTCCGGTGACAATCCCCATGGTTCTGTTTTATCCCAGATTTTCATCAGTGTCCTAGGATCCAGCTCTGCCTTGCTGGCAGACCTAACCCAGCCTGTACCCTGCCTGGCCGGAGGTCCCCTCCTTCTTCCTGAAAGCTGCTGCAAGGCAGCACGTCCATCATCATTCGTCCCACAGCCTTGAGGACACATCTCAACATCCTGTAAAATCCCAGTGCCGACAAGGCAGGGTGTTAGCTCCCACATACCCGACAGACAAGTTCCAGCCTTGTCTAATACTTAACTTGACCTGTCAAAAACTGCCACCAAACCGTCCCCCACCCGCATCGCCTGGCTCCAGTGGGGTTTCTGGATGGGGCTTGGCCCTGACCCCAGTGCTCCTTGCTGCCTGGATTTGGGAGGGAGAAGCCACGAGATGGCACCCTTAGTCTGGAGGAAACTAAACCTCCACCTTGACATGCTGGGAATAAGGATATGGCTTGAAGTCCTGGCAGAGGGGACCTGCAGGTCCTGAATCTTGCCATAAGCTACTCCAGAGCACTGTGCCCTTGGTGGCTTGATCCGTCACCGGTAAAGGAGCCACAGCAGCATATCCCCACCTTGCTATGGGTGGTGAGTGAGTAAATGCATCCAAGAAGAATTGGCTGTCCTAGGTGGGTCCCTCCCACAACCCCCATTGGGTCCCCCTTTCCCTGGGGTTATCCTGGTACACGGTAGCCCGAGTGCAGGAGCATCACATACCTTTTGACTGGCGGCTTCTTCTTCAAAACATCGGCTATCATCCTGCTGGTGGGAGGGAGCTTGTTCCAGCCTGAGAAGAACAGAGAAACCAGAGACCTCCAGGAGCACCTTAAGCTGAAAAGTTCACCCGCTTTCCATGCTCCCAGCCCCTTTACCAAGAGCATTCGTGCTTGATCGTTATGGCAGTCTGCCTGGAGCAGCAGGGATATGGGGATGCAGCTGGACAGCACAGGCTATGATGCTACTAATGCCAGTGTCCACCATGGGCACTGTGGCAGGAGTTGAAATATGCCCTGGGCTCTGTGGACAGCAGGTCAGGCTGCTCGAAACCTCCCACCCCAGCAGATCCCCATATCCCTGCACCCCATTTCTCACCTGCAAAGATCCCTGTCACCCAACGAGCCTGCATTTCTGTTCCCACCATCACAGAGCCAGTGAGTTGGACTAAGCCAATGATGGCCAGCGTTGGCTTTTCCAGCTGTGGAGGGAAGATGCGCTTATAGAGGGAACGGTTATCATCGAAGAGGCTGCGAACTGGCTCTTCAAGGAAGGGAAATGAGAAGATGTAGCCTGTGGCAAAGAGCACCACATCGATATTTTCTTCGATTGTCCCGTCTTCAAAAACAGCAGAGTTTTCAGTGAACTCCTTCACAGTTGTCTTCAACACAACGGTCCCAGACAGGAGACAAAATGGCAGCTCTTCATTGATAATTACCTTAAAGTTGGAGCTTGCAAGTGGAAAAGAAGACAGCAATGTTAGCATCTGGGAGGGACCCAAAATGTCTTTTGTGGCCAGAGTTCCCATCCAATGATTTGCTATTCCATAAATATCCCCTGAAATTAAAAATCAAGCATTTCAGGCCATTAAAACCCCCATACCAACCAACAACATAGTCAGAAAAAACACCTTTTGGTAGAAGCCAAGCCATAGTTTGCATGGTTAAACCACGAATTGAACTTCCGAAACCTGATCCTCCTTGAGAGGGCTGATGGGAGAAGCCAGTCGAGAAAGTGATTGAAGCGGGTGGTGCTGACCATGTCGAAGGGGAAGCCGTGGTCCGAGACACGGCTGAACACCCACGTGCTGCTCCTGGCACTGAGGAACACCTGGGGGAGAAGGCAGATCTCAGCTTCCTGCCCAGATATCTTGTTGCTGGTTTTGCCCTGAATGGCAAATCCCATCTCCTGCACTTGGGAGCTGAAAGGGTTATGCCGAGGAAAGGAGATGGCATCTGGGTGAACCAAACAGCTTGTGGTGGCTTCTGCAAAGTTCCCACAGCTGCTGAATAGTCACTCCTCAGATAACCCTAACTCTCCAGGAATTGCAGAGCTTCTTCAATTGCCCTCAATTTGAAGTGCTATTTAATGACAAACCCATTGAGCAAAGCTTCCTGTGCATACCCTGAGCCACCAGCTCTTGTGGTCCCTGGTTGGGCTCTGCATGGCCATTCAGCTGTACCTTTGCAGCCACACGGCTCAGCTCCACGGAGATGTCACCGCCGGTGTTGCCAACGCCGACTACAAGGACCCGCTTTCCCCGGAAAGCCTCCACATCTTTGTATTCCCAGCTGTGGAGGTATTGTCCTTTGAAGCGGGTGTTGATACCTAGGCAAAGAACAGGGAGCATCTCCTAGTGCCAGCTACGTTTGCTTGCCCCAGCCTCGTGCCCGGGGTCTCTACAGCCCCCAACTCTCCACCTCCCACCTCTGCTTGCAGCTGAGAAGCCCATGGAGTCTTGGCTCACTAGGTGATGCCACCCTCCTGCACCTCCTTGGCTCAGTCCTGCTCTGCAAATTCTCATGCAAGAGCCTGGCTGCATCTTTCTGAGGTATTTTTCCATTCTTGGAAATGGGTCCCACAGGGTGAGGGTCCCACCTGCCCCAGCATGGGGGCTTTGTGGAGCAGACAGGCTCACAGAGGGAAATGCAGCCAAGGGACCCTTGGGTGCCCCCAGCAGCCCTAGCCCACCCCGCTGCCAAGGCAGAGCTTACCTGGGAAAGAAGCCAATGGTAAGTAGGGCTCCTGGTAATGGCCGGTGCAAACCATGACGGCATCGAAGACGTGTGACTCCCGGATGCCGTCGGTCTCGGTGACCACCTCCCACTGGCCTGAGGTGGCAAAATCCGGGCGCCTCCTCACGCTGACAGCTGTCGTCTTGCACCAAAGCCCAACAAAACAGCAGCTGGGGACTGCACCGCGTTTCAGAGAGGACCTGCCTGCAAAGGGCTGGGGCTGCTGGGGGCAGGCTGGGTGCCCGGTGAGCTGCGTGTCACCTCTGAAGGTGTTAAATCCCACCCTGCACATTTCCCCTGGTGATGGCACTGAGGGGGGTGATGCACCAGGCAGCCCATGTTTGAGCAGCCTGATTTAAAACATGGAGCTGAAAAGGCTGCATTCAGGATGCAGAAGGTACTTGTCCTTGCGGGATTGCACCTAATATTGTCCCGTCCCACCTGGACAATGCCCTGGTATCTGCAGCCACTGACGGCTTTCCTCCCCATGGCATTTGGGGTCCCTGCTCACCTTGAAGCGTATGTGCCGCAGGAGGTCGAAGTGCTGGGCGTACATCCGATAGTACTCCAGGAGGAGACCATGAGGTAGGAAACTGGGAAAATTCTCTGGGCAGGGGAAGTCACTGAAGCAGGACATCTCCTTGGAGGTGTTGGTGATGACTGAGCGGTATACACTGATCCGCCCACCATCCGTGGAGTCCTGTGTGAAGCCAGTGGTGCCATTTGTGGGCGTGCAGGCAAGGACCTTCTCCCCTAAAGTATTTGAGTATTTTTCCTCCTTGTATTCAGTACAAGGAATAAATCAAGACTAGCACCTGGTGACCATGGCTTCTGCTCCCTCCATCTCTTTCTCTACCTTGGAGTCAGGGGGAGACCCATGTCTGGGACAGGGACAGTCCTCGAGGGCATGGTCACCCTTTCCTCTTTGCTGCAGGCAAAGGGTATCCAAGGGAGGGGACAAACCCAGGGACAATCCTCCCCGCGCAGGCAGAGCCCACTGACCGTGTAGCGCCAGATCCCCCCGATGTCCTCGCTCCTCTCAAAGCAGGTGGGCTCCAGCCCCTCGTCCAGGCAGCACTTGATGGAGGCCAACCCACCGGCCCCGGCCCCGATAACAGCCACGCGCCGCACCATGCTGTCCCACAGCAGGCAACGGGCCAGCGTGTGAGTAACTGGAAATAAAACAGCCCAGGGATTAGCAGATACACCTCTCCCTTCTTCCCATCCCCAGAAAAACACCTTATGTTCTTCCTCGGCTGCAGGTGTCCACAGAGGAAAACTGTCCTTGGAGAAAACCATCACTAGTTCCTGACTTGAGCATGATGGATGGACACTGCTCATCACCCTTCCCGCTGTGCTAAGCCCTCAGCGAGTGCCCAGTGACTCCCCTCCTGCAGGCGGGGAAAAAGGAGGCATTTTTAAACCTCACTGCACTGCTGCTTCTATTTATTCCCTTTCCTGGCCCAAACCGGGGTGCGCAAAGAAGGGGAAGGGGCTTACAGCAATTTGCTTCTGTCCGCACAAAGTGATCCTCCTGAAACCTTTTCAAGAATCAATTTCAGCTAAGCTGGCTCGTTTTCATGCTTTCCTTTTGAATTTCCCATTAAAGGGCATTCTCTCGAAAACAAAAAGGGTTTCTTTCTTTACAAAAAAAAAAAAAAAAGCAATGCCTGACTGAGCAGGAGCACGGCACAGCGATTCAGAAGTGAGACAGCACCGTGAAAGTGCGGCTGGGATTACAGAATACACAAAAGGTAAGAAACCCGGGAAACGCAGGGCATAAATGGGAGGAACTCAAGGCTCAGGGTGTGTAAACAGAGCTGCACCGAGCTTGACTGGAAAGCAAAAAAAAAATTAGGAAAAAATGAACCCATGTGAACTTTGATTAGATAACAAACACTCCTACTGCAGAGTCTGAAGAAAGAGTCATTTATAACTTTTTTTCTACCCATTTTGTGTCAAAACGTACGTTAACATAAACAGGAACTGGAGGAAACTGCAGCAGCCAGGAAAAAATGAGGGAGGTGCAAAAACCCCCCTCTGCAACCCAAAGCCCAGCCTGAGCTGCTCCTTGATATACAGGAGCAGGGCAGGACATACCAACACTCGCCCACCCCCTCGTTGCTGGACCCTCCCTTGGCTTTGAGAAAGGGGAGTGACGTGCCCGGGGTGCTAAAATCACCCCCCTTTTCCAGTGCTGCCGACCGACTGCTTTGCTCCAAAGGGTCCCTGCGACACCCCCTCTCCCCCTGCCTGCAGCCAGTTGAAGCTGGTAGCCAATGCCAGTACCCCAGAGAGCTGGCTGCCCGCTTTTAGAGCCTGCAAAACCCAGCCGGAGAGAAGAGAGGAGCAAACCTTGCAGGGCAGAGCTGTGCCTTCGCTGCTCGGGCTTCGGCCAAACTTTGCTTCAAGTTTCTCTACCCGCAGATTCAAAGGAAAGGCTGAAGTCCGGGCTGCTCGCCGTGGCTTTTGCACCACCGACCTTTACACCCGTCCCTCCCCTGCTCTGCTTTGCTTGAATGCCTGAGCAGAAAGCTCCCAACCTCCCTGAGGCGGTGCTGGGTGGAAATCCAGACCGAAATCCCAAGGGGACCACACTTGCAAGGACTCCCACGCTGCAGCTTGCTGCTGCCCCAGCCCCAGCAGCAGCTTGGGGTTGTCCTGATCCATCCCCCTGTGTGCTGCCTGCGCTGGGCAAGCGCTCACCCTGCATAGAATTGTAGAATAGAATCATAGAATCGTCTAGGTTGGAAGGGACCTTAAAGATCATCTAGTCCAACCATCAACCTAACTCTGACAAAAAAAAAAAAAAAAAAAAAAAAAGAAAAAAAAAATAAAAAAACCATACCTCCCAGCACTACATCAACCCGTCTTTTGAACACCTCCAGGGATGGTGCCTCAACCACCTCCCTGGGCAGCCCATTCCAATGCCTGATAACCCTTTCAGTGAAAAAATTTTTCCTAATATCCAGCCTGAACCTACCCTGGCGCAACTTGAGGCCATTTCCTCTTGTCCTGTCGCCTGTGACTTGAGAAAAGAGACCGGCCCCCACCTCTCTACACCCTCCTTTCAGGTAGTTGTAGAGAGCAATAAGGTCTCCCCTCAGCCTCCTCTTCTCCAGGCTGAATAACCCCAGTTCCCTCAGCCTCTCCTCATAAGACTTATTCTCCAGACCCCTCACCATCTTTGTCGCCCTTCTCTGGACGACACCTCCAGGGATGGTGCCTCAACCACTTCCCTGGGCAGCCCATTCCAATGCTTGATAACACTTTCGGTGAAGAAATGTTTCCTAATATCCAATCTAAACCTCCCCTGGTGCAACTTGAGGCCATTTCCCCTTGTCCTATCACCTGTGACTTGGGAGATAAGATCAACCCCTGCCTCTCTACACCTTGCCTTCAGGTATTTATAGAGCGCAATAAGGTCTCCCCTCAGCTTCTTCTTCTCCAGACTGCATCCCTGGGAAATTGGCAAAACATGCTCCAGCAGACAGCGTGGAGCAGGGGACACAGCGCATGGGGAAGCCTAATTTTCAGTGGTCAACGAAAGCCCTCTCAGCCCCAGGCTTGTGGGATGCACAGCCCCAGCCTGGGCACAGGAACCCCCCCCAAGCTCTTCCCATGCACACAACGAGACGACAAGGCAACAGCCTGCAGCACAGTCCCACCATGGCCAAGGAAAGTTTATTGATGGAAAGTCTCTCCGCGCACAAAGGGAAGTCCTGGGACCCAGTGATGTTGGAACGCAGGGAAGCAGGGGCAGGAGCACTCAGCCCCATGGGGTGCCAGCCCAGTCTCACTGGTGACAAACCACTCCAGGGTCTCCTCCCCAGAAAGATGCACCGATTCAACCCAAACTGGGATTTTTGGTTTATAGGGTTTCAAGTCAGAAGAAGAGACAGCCTGATCTGCTTACCCAGCCCAGATAACCCCTTGCTGGACTAAAGACCGCAGTTCCCAGCTGATTTGGGAGAGGACTGGGTTCCCATGCTCCTTTCTGGCTGCAACACCCATAGCCATTTTTTGCTGGTCTTGTCCCTGCTCCCTCCTGGCCAGCATGGTTTGGGCATGACCATGCCACACAGCTGTGCTCTGCTCATGGCAGCAGGCAGGAGGTCAGCAGAGGGGTGATGAATGCTGGGAGGAGTCCCCCCTCCTCGGCTAATCAGGTCTGCAAAGCTGTGCTCAGGGGTGAGCTGGAAGAGAGAGGTTTGTGCTGCTGATTAAAGTTTTAGCGATCTGCTAAAAGCCCCTGCCCCGTGGCACCCTGAGGAACTGTCTGACCTGAGGCAACCTCCCCAAGGACGAGAAAAAACCTAAAGAAGCTTCACAATCTACTGGAAACCCAAAACCACAGCAACCAGGAGCAGGAGGAGCCCCATTGCAGTCAGAAGAGAAGGGCAGATGCTGGAGGAGCTGGTGGGGACTCGTGTTCTTGTGGGCTTCAGGGTCCGGTCCCACTGGGTGAGGATGGCCTGGCGTGCCCCCTCCCAACGCCCAGGACCACCCAGCCGGTACTGGTAGGGGGTGCAGGGGCCAAAGAAAACAGTGAGAGCCAACTGGGGGTCCCTGCAGAGCAGCCCCAGCATGCTGGGCTTGGCGCCAATGAAGGAGGCGAGCTTGTCCATGTAGACCAGGCAATCGGTTTTCAGGACTTCATCAAAGGACAGACCGAACCTTAATGAATTGGAGACGAAAAAGAGGTGGGAGAACTGGTGTCAGCAGGGCTGAGATGAACTGGAGGCCAGATGCTCTGCATCCACGCTGTTACTGCATCCAAATGCAACTGGGTTCCTCTTAGGAGAAGACAGGGCATGTGTGCAGTGGGAACCTGAGTCTGTCTGTGCCCAAATCCTGCCTGTGACACAGCACATGTAAAGCGATGCTGCCTCTGGTACACACCTTTCTCATGTGCATCAGTCAGGCTTTCACTTCATCACCCACAAGCTGCATCTGCTCCCTATCTTCATCTTAGTAGGCTTTTTCTAAAAGAGTTTGTCAAACCAGTTGGGTTTGTTGTTGTTTTTTTTTTTGTTTTGTTTTTTTGTCTTTTTTTTTTGTTTGTTTGTTTTTTTAAGACTAGCTTTCCCTTTGCTCTCTGCTGAGAAGTCAGGTGCAGTGTGAGAAAGGCAGCATCCATTAGTTTCCCCTCACATTCATTTCCACTGAGTATTGCAAAAATGCGTGCTGAATTGCAAAATTGCTTCCAGTTCACCTTCTCCGCAGAATTCACAGCTTCATGTCCCATCTTCACTGGCTGAAAAAGGCCATGGGTGTATAGACTGGTATTGTACAGCAATTTTTCTGTGTGATTCTGTACTTCACTCTTTTATACCTTTTCTACTGTAGCAATCTAGGGGAATCATAGATTAATACACTGCCTAGTTTCCTTGGTTTAATCTCATTCATTTCCTAATAATTCTTAGCCTCTGATTTGACCTTCTGCCTGCCCATGAACTATGTGATGATCTGCAAACACATCTATTCACAGTGATTCAGATCCCTGTGCTGAGAGGTGAGACAATTTGTATGTACACCTCAGGCTGGCTTTCCCTTCTTCTGCTGAATTACTTTGTATTTATTACCATTAATTTCTCTGCTATTTTAGCTCTCAGTCCCTGAGGACTCTGGCACACTTCCTCAACTCCCAAGCAGCCTTTAGTCTCGACTACCCCGAATTAATTTGTTCCTGTCATCACCAGGCAAAATATCAGCATCAAATCAAAGGTTACATTGGCTCAGTGCAAGTGAATAAAGGGGTGGCTGGATCTGGGCATCCCTCACCTTGCCTCCACTGTATGTGCAGGGAGCAGCCACAGACTGTGGACCTGTGTATCGCTCGTCCCTGAACCCCAGGGGCCTTTCAATCCACTGAAAAAAACTTTGGGGCTTTGGGGAATGGCTTACCATCGCACTTGGTTTTTCTTCTTCTCATTTACTTCCTTCTCCATGACAGACTGAGGAGGCAACTGACACAAGCCTAGAAGAGAGAGGAGAGTGTCTTGCAGAGTTTAACTCCTGGGGGGACTTGTGAACTCATTCAGTGATGCACAATGTGGGAAGCCAGGAAAACCTCATCACGGGGATTTAGCTCGCCAGAGGCAATTCTGTCAGAGACCAGCCCTCCACTGTGGTAGAAATTCACCTGCGTTTTTTTTCCTGCTCTTACATTTTTCTGCTGTCAGGGCAGAGACAGATGATGTGGGGTGAGATGGGCCATGCAAGCCCCAGAGGGGATCATCCCAAAAGGAAACCCCAGAGTTCCGCTAGATCTCTGGAGGAACCTTGATGCAGCCCTCCACACCAGCCCAGCAGGCGGTTATTATTACTATTTTTATTTTTTTAAAAAAACCCAAACCAGCAACAAAAAACCCAAGTAGGTTTCTTTCCTCACCCCAATAGTTACAAATAATTTCTCTTGTGGGGCAATGGGACTCTTCTCCTCTGGTAGTCATGATGGACAAACCACCCTGTCCCTAAAAAGGGCAGTGAATTCTGCCAGGATGGATCTGCCACAGTGTCTTAAAGACAACTTTTGTCCGTGCATCCAGGTTTCCATACCCATATCTATGCTCTGATGCCTAGAATATTTTAGGGGGGGAAATACTGCCTTGAACAAACTAGTTCAGACTGTGGTTTGCAGGCTCAGGTGCAGGAGCACACATCAGCTGAGTCACAGTAAATCTCAGCTTACAGCAGGCAGGGTACAAAGCATTAGCTTAAACAAAGCTTAACAAGCGAAAAAAAAAAGTGGTTTAAGGTAGATGTCATGAACTTGCATGTAGCTTGGACCAATCATGCATTTGTATTGCTGTAGCTCAGCTGAAGTGAAATAACTTGGGAAGTCTGAGCCCTAGAAATGCTCCCTCATCCACTGTGCCATGAGCTTTCAGGGGCCCCAAGGACCGAAATCCCTCTTAGTGCATGGAGAGGACAAGACATGTCCAGTTTGAACTGCATTTTGGTACACAGAAGAGCTCACGTTAGCTCTCCTACCTTTGAAGACACGGGTCACCCAGCGTGCTTGCATCTCTGTCACGGGCATGATGGCTCCAAATGGCTTGATCAACCCAAGGACAGCCAGGGTGGGCCTCTGCAGATGGGTTGGGAACACATATTTGTAGAGGGATGCATGCTTGTTTTCCACTTTGACAACTGCTTCTTCTAGGAACGGGAAAGAGACATTGTAGCCCGTGCAGAAGACGACAATATCAATGGGCTCCTCCTCAGGGTAATTGTGGAAGACAACTGAGTTGTCCTTAAACTCCTTCACACTCGGCTTTATGGTGATCCTCCCTGTCAGGATGTAGCTTGGAAGGTCATCGTTCAGCACAGGCTCCCGCACCAGGCAGCTGTGGAGAGGCGAAAGGCTCTGAGAGTTGGAGACCATAAACAAGCCAGCTAGTGCCCCTGCTCCTCCTCCCATTGGGATGTCCAACCCCATGACCTCCCAGTGTCATTTGCTCCAAACAGCCCTACCTCTCCCTTTCCAAACGCTGATATATCACTGCCCCACAGCATGTGTAACACGTGGGCATCTCCTGCCTTCTTCCTCCATTCACTCAATTACTCTCTAAACCACCTCTTTTCAGAGCTGATCCATGATTTAGGCCTCCCTCCTCCTCTTTTCCCAGGAACCATCATGGTCCTTTCTGGGCTTTTCCACTGTGCTCCATCTCACACCACCTAATGGGGATACAGCTTATCTTCTCCCACTGGGCTACAAACTCCCCACTGGAGACCACCTCAGTCTGGGTGTTGTTTGCTGCATTCATTGGTGGTTGCTGGAGATCTCCCCCTGTCCGGAGCAGAAGCCCTGTGATATCACATGGGATGGGAACCACCAGGGAGTACCTCTTCTCTGGTTGAAGGCCATAGTTTTCATGCTTGAACCACTGGTTCACCCTGTAGTTAATTAACGCCTTTGAAAGTGGTCCAGGGAGGCTGTTTCTGATCAAGCTCATAAGGCGAGTGTTGAAAACCATGTCCCATGGGTAACCATGGTCAAACACACGGCTGAGCACCCAGGCACCTCGGCCAGTGCAAATGGTCACCTGGGAGAGAGCAGAGAATCAACAATTTAGGTGACGAATTTGCTGGTTTGCCTTTATAAAGTAACCCTAAAGGTGCATAGGGCAGACAGCTATGCAATGAAGAAGCAGCAGCAGCATCTTTAAGACTCCTTGGCAGCTGGAGATGGAGATGAAACAGGAGAGAAAAGAACAAATAGGTCTCTTTCAGGTTGGTTTTTGACCAAGAAATACGAGTTCAGAAATATTGTTCGTACATCACGCATAGTGATCGCAGCTCACTTGCCCTATGATGATGGTGGGCGAGTAAACTGAGCTATTGCCCTCAGCATCACCCTCCCTGCACCCCTGGGGTGGCTGGATGGTGGTACCTTCGTAGCTACACGGCTGGCCTCCACCGCGATGTCCACTCCTGAATTGCCCATGCCAACCACGAGGACACGCTTCCCCTGAAACACGTCAGGATGCTTGTACTGCCGGCTGTGAAAGTACTGGCCTTGAAACTTCTCAATGCCTTGGGGAAAAGAAACAAAGCTTTTAATTACTTGAGCATTTGTGGTTTTTGTTGGGAGAACTGGCATAGAACCAATCCAGATAGCAAAAGCAAGGAAGTGCAATCAGTGGCCACTAGGGACTTGGGGAGGTCCAGCCCTCCATCCCACGCACACAGACTTGTTTCCTCTCACAAATGGGGTCTCACACACGCTCGCACGGCAGTGAGCAGGGACACATGTGCTAGGTGGGGCTTGGAAGACAGTTACGTGCACCAGTACAGCTCTTGCATTCTTGGGATACAGCATCTGCAAGATGAGGACACAGAGGTTCAGAAAAGCCTGCAGATCTCCTGTCCTACAATCGGCTTCAGAAGCACTTGATAATGCTGATGGCAAGGCAACCCTCTCTATGATGACCACTGGGGAGATCCATCACAGCAGTGATGTATACAGCCCTGTCAAAGATGATGAAGCTTCACTGAGAGGACCTTGTCCCATCTCACATATTGCATGGACAGTTTCTCTGAGGCTAAACCATCCTGCCTTGAAAGTTTGCTCTGAAATGACCAGTGCCTGCAAGAACAAGGCTGGTGAAGCCCAAGGATGTATTGCTGTTTATGCCAGGTGGTTTGAAAAGCAGAAGCGAGAAAGGAGGGAAGCATTTTGCCTGAGGAACTGCTAATCTTCCTTCTCCCCCCAGCCACTGGAAGCAGGTAACCACAGTCAGCCGCGTACCGTACCAGGAAAACAGTGCAGAGGGAGGGATGGCTCAGAGAAATTGCCACTGCAAACCATAACAGCATCAAAGACGTGCAATGTCTGCTTCCCATCTGCCTCTGTAACCACATCCCACTGGCCCGTGGTGGCAAAGTCAGGGCGCTTCCGGATGCTGACAACGGTGGTCTGAAATGTGGAAGTCATGTGGAGTCACCACTAGTGGCTGGCATGCACAGGGAGCATGGCAACGCCGGGGCACCCGTCACTCACCCCAAACTTGATGTGCTCCCGGAGGCCGAAGTGCTCAACGTAGCGCCGGAGGTAGTCCAGGAGCCGGGCGTTGGGCAGGAACACGGGGAAATCCTCAGGGTAGGGGAAGTCAGAGAACGCTGACATCTCCTTTGAGGTGTTGCTGATGACCGACGGGTAGAGGCTTGGCCGACCAGCCTCAATGTGCTCCTGGTGTGGCATCCCGGGGTGCATCAGCCCTCTGCCCTGAAGTGGGGATCATCCCCCTGCTCCCCTTCCCCTGGTCTTGGGGAGCGCAGCTGGGAGAGGCCAGCACCCAGCAAGCTCTCACCCCCCCTCCCCACCCCCTGGGGGACCTTGACCAACTCCCCAGCCCGCAAAGCTGGAGCTTCCATGGGAAGGGGGGACAAGGGCCGACAGCTCACCGTGTAGCGCCAGAGCCCCCCGATGTCTCGGCTCTGCTCGAAGCAGGTGGGCTTCAGCCCTTCATCCAGGCAGCACTTGATGGCCGTCAGCCCACTGACGCCTGCACCCACCACCGCCACTCTCATCCCTGCCGTTTCTGCTGGGGACACGGGCTGTGAACGGGGCTTAACCTGGGAGAAACCCCACAGGCAATCACCACCTTCTCAGGGAGCAGCTGCCAGTGTACCCTCTATAGGTGATTTCTTTACATGCCACCACCAAACCCTGCATTCCCTTTACCAGCATTCTGAGCTCTTAATTTACAAGTTAGGTTAAACGATTTTAAATATTCATTTTCTCTATTCTTTTTAAATTTAAATTTAATCCATCCACTCTTACAGTGTGCTTGCCACACTGTCCTCAAAACCCCGCAGTTGCCCTGGAAGCTCACTTTGAAAATATGTAGTTAAGCCAGTTTTTATTTACAAGTTGTGCTTAAACTATCCCTCCTTATCAGTCGTCCAAATATTTGTATTTATCTTTGGAATTCTGCCCCTGCCTCTCTTTGAAAAGAAAACAAACAATGTTCTGGGACTATTCAGTCTCTGCCTGGCTGACAGGGTCCTGTCCCCCATCCCTGGGGAAGATGCTGCTGACTTTGACATGGCCACCAACAGAGGGACTGCAGGAATAACACACCTTGGCTTTAGGGATGCTTTTGTTTCTGTCTCCCAAAGCTGCCCCACTGGGGAGATCTAAGCTGGACAGACAGACTCGCAGGGCTGCAAATGGCTCAGCCTTAGGGTTCAAAAAGCAGCCACCCCCCAGTCAATGTTAGCCCTATGAGGACCCAAACCCTTCTTGATAATGCCAGGCAATGAAACAAAGGATGACAGCCACATGACATTGCTCAGGCTGGATACTACCAGAGCAGGGACCATCACACATGTGCCCTGACAGCCCCTGGTTTCACCCCAGCTCCAGTGGGGTGCACCCTGCTCAGCTGAGTTATTAACCGGGTGTACCAGGACTGCACTATAGCTGGGTGGCTCCAGCTCCTCTACCCCAAGAAGCACTTTCAGCTTCCACCAGACACAGGGGCTGGTGTATTCACCAGAGAGCCTTCAGTAGAAAAATGGGGTTGGGCACAGTTTTTTTCAATAGAACACCCAATTCCCCATGAACAATTTCAACTTTCAGTAAGAAGGCAGCACCTAATGAATACCCTGCTTTCCAAGTTTGAAAATTAAAACATGACTTTTTCCTTCTTAAATGAAGATAAGCTGCTCATTGTTTCACTGCTTTGGGCGGGCGTTTTTTGCATGGTGGGAGTTAACTTATATCACAATCACCTCCTGGCTACGTATGCTATTTAATTCCCTACTGTTTTGTAGAGAAGCTAGAAATAACACCCAGGTAACACTGTCTCAGCTACCCCATGGCTGTTTCTGCCACAGTTTCCATACGTTTCATAGGGGCTCACCTCAGAAGGCTCAAGCTATGGGGTGTTTGCGTGGGGCAGGAAGGGATGGAAAGGCTTTGCAACCCCCCAGGGACACTTACCTCCCAGCCTCAGCCGCCCGAGCTCCGTCTCACTGCCGCTGCGGGGAGAGCCCCTCCTGCTCCCAATTTATAGGCGAGACTCACTTCAGCAGAGGCAGTGAAGGGCAGGCAGCTTCGTCCCTCCACCCCAGCACGGCCACCCCACTCCCACAGCAGTTGCACAACCCGGGATTGCAGTGGGAGGAGCAGGTGGACTCACCTGCTGCCGTGCGGAGCGAGCTGGACCATCCAGATGATGATCCCTAAAGGAGATTGAGCGGGGTGGGAGAGGCTGGAGGGGTCCAGATGTGTCCCCCCAATCCCATGTAAAGAGGATTTGTGTGTGCAGGGGTGGCTTCAGCTGTGGGATGTTTTCACTTGCCTCTTGGCTGTGTACCAAAAGGGAGCCGAAGCGGCCGAAAGACAGCAGGGTTTCAGCTGGACTTTGCACCCAGGGTACCTTCCAAAAAAAAGAGCTGGTTTTGCAGTCACTGCTCGTGGCCACGTGTGCAGCCACCCGCAGCCACGGAGGGCAGGAAGGTCCCTGTGCAAACTGGGAGAGCGTGACATGGCCACAGACACCAGCGTGGCAAGGTCCTAAACACAAAGCAAGTGGAAATGTTAGCTGAAATATCAATGCAGGGCATAGTACCCATCCAGGTGTCTCCAAGGGGTAAGTGATCCCAAATTTGCTATCAGCTCTTTAAGCTGTTTAAACAACCAAAGAGGCTGCAAGGAAGGGGAAGAAAAACACATCCAAGGTCTGCAGACCAGAGGGTGATAAATAAAGCAGCTCCATCCAACAGAGACATCTGCTCAGAGCCTGCGTTCAAAGCTGCAGAGGCACGAGATGGGCCAGTAGCTGGGAGTTGGAACTAGAAGTGGAAATAAGATGCACATTGGTAACAAGGAAGGTAATTAGCCATAGTGAAAGTCTGCTGAGCTTTGCGGAGGACCCAGGCATGAGAACAAAGCGTGTTTGGTTCGTGGAGGAACAGGACTCGATGCCCCTGTGCTGGAGCACTGTCAGGAGCACAGCAGCCAGGGCTGCTACCCAACTGCAGCTTCCCCAGCCTCAGGATTTCCCACTCTGCTTCCACCCAGCGCCCAGCTCCTGGGTTTAACCCCATCAAGTCCAGGGCATGTGCACGGTCTGGGGCCAGCTATGCCAAACATGCTTTGGTACATGTCTGTGAGCGGCAGCTGAAAGCAACGTGTTTGCAGGGGTTAGAGCCTGTGAAATCAAACTTCGAGTCAAAAATCCAGATTTTGGTCTCCCAGGCCAGTGGGATGCAGTTACTGAGGTGAACAGGCACATCTTTGATGCTGTTGGGATTTGCACAGGCTATGATGACTCCCAGCCCTCCCTCCCGCTGGACTCTTCTCCAGATGCACAAAATTTTGCACCTGCAAAGACGATTGCCAGCAGTCAGCAAAAAAAAAAAAAAAGTGCAGGAAATCCATGAAGGCAAATGTTTTGTTCCTTATCTGCTCCTACTTTTCTGCATTTCCCAGCAGGCATCCAAGTGACTTGCAGTTGGAGGGACACTGTGGCAGCTTCCCAGGAGAAGTGTTAGTGCTTTTGAGAGGCCAGTTCAGGGAAGCTTTCTGAAAGAACAAGTTGTATTTTGGCGTAGATGAGGTACTGGCATAGAAATGGGGTCAGATGCCTTTGCTGCAGCTGCTTACAGCAGTGGTGGCTCTGGCTATTCCTGGTGAGGTTAGAAATGCCTCCAAAGCCCCAGTACCTTGGGATTAAAACTCACTTTCCTGTGACCTGCCTCAGTTCTGCGGTGTACCCCTCCACAAATACCTTTGCAATGGCCTGGACCAGGTATGCAGAACAAAGTATTAGTGCAGATGGACACCGTGATAGCAGGGAGGTAATTACAGTAATTATACACATGCATGCCCAGGGCACTGAAAAGTCCTTGGAAACACCCAGGGAAATTCTGGTTGCTTTACTCACCTCTGCTGCTGACACGAAAGAAGATAGCATCCTGGTCCCTCTGCTCTGCCAGCCCCTGCCAGCAGGGAGACCCAGGATCCATCTCTCCAGCTTCTCTCCAGGGACAGCCTGTGCAGAGCAGACAGGACCAAGCACATCAGGGTGGGGGGGTGGTGGTTAATATGTTCGCAGGGCTGAAAAAAGCCCTCATGGCCTGCGGCCAATCCCCCTGAATTTATGTCCTTGTGAAGACAGGAGCAGACACAGTGACAGAGGTCCCAGTCCCCCTTTCTGAGCAAGGAGGATTTGCTGCCACCCTGTTGGGGAGGGAGGGGGGACCCTGCCATTGCACACATAAAATAATTGGGGGGAATCAGGCTTTGGCCAAGGGATGGGATGAGGCCAAGCAAGGACACATAATGTGGGTAACTATTTTACCACTTTCTTCTGCCCAGCTTGGGACACCAAGCAGTTGGGTTTATATGTGTCCTCACATGCTGGGACAGAAGCCTCGTTAGATACTGGGGATGTATGGGTCATGAGGGACCACGGGGAGAGCCATGAGCAGTAACAACTAGTTGTGGCTCAGGAGGAACACCAGGAACAGGATGCTCGTGCACTGGCCTACTGGTGAGTCCCTTCTCCCCTGGAGGAGCAAAGCACCATGGTGCGAGCCTGAGCTCTGCAACAGGCTTTTTATCCTTAAAGTAGAGGGAAGGAGAAACTTGATATATCCATTTAGCATTAATCAGATGGGAAAGGCACCTTCTTTGCAAAACTCTGTCACCAGATTTATCATCTCTGTTTAAAAAAACACTTTAAGCCAAGGAGGGGCAAATTGATGTACAAACAAGTCTTAGCACAGCCCACTTTGCTATTTCTAGGCTTGTGTCAGCAGCTTTTGGCATCTGTCGTAGTGAATGGGGACAAGAAATAGAAAAAAAAAAAGTGGAGTTTCTTGTTAAGCCAGTCTCTAAGCAAAGCAGGGTGCTCATCATCAAGCAGCCGCTGCCATCACACACACGCAGGAGCCAATGGGATGTGGAGTCTGGGCTCATCAGTGAAACACTTAGTTTTTCGCTGTCTGATATTACCTCTGCCCCCCCTTACTGACCAGAAGGCTTTAATAACCATTTCTTTTCTACACAGAGGTGAGATTGCCCCAATGGTGGCTGTTGCCTCTCACAAGGCTGCATCATAGGGCAATCCATAGGTGAACAGTGCCTGCAGACCAGCTCCTGATGGCAAAACGTATTCCTTCCTCCCCACATTTTGTAGACCCTGGATTTTGGCTCTGAAAAAAGTTGCTTATGCTTTGGCCCCAAAGCCAAAAGGCAATTTTCTGCTAAAAAAAAATACAGAACTGCTACCCCAAGCATCAGGGGCCATTTTCCTACTTTACTATTTCCAGCACATAGAGAACACTGAAGCACTGCAGCCAGCAGCAGCAAACACTGGCAAGGCACTTATATTTCTTTGTAATCAGAGCTAGGCATGTTCAATATCTTAAACTCTTCCCGAAACCTCAGAAGAGGCATCACTGTTAAGGAGACCCAAAGGATGTGGTGGAACAGACATGGGCTGTAGCAGGTACTACGGGAGAGGAATTTCCTTGCTAGGCAAGGAGGTGTCTGCATGGAGGGCACAAGTTTTACTCCAACATACTTGGCAAAGTTTAACCTGATTTAATAATAAGTCACTGTGTTTTCCAGGCATGTAACCTGTGGAATTTGTCAAGAAGCTGCTGCTTGTTAAATCTATTGCCTCCTATTGCATCAAAAAAAACCCCTAAGAGCTGCAGTTTTAAAGTTCTTGGATTTGGAAGCTTTAAAATGTACAATTGAGAGATTCCCCAGACAACCACTCAGAAATCTTCACAAGAGCATCCCTGATGGAAACATACACCCTCCTTTGCTCAACATGTCTTTGTGCCACTCAAAGTGGATAAACACATACAGTCCAAGTGCCATGGAAGATGCACCCGAGTAACATACAGCACTAGGAAGGGCTTTAGACCCTCCTCATCACTTCTGAGCCAGACCTCAGAGGTTTGGGGGGGGTATCATTTCAAGGTAATAAAACATAACTACTGAAGAGACTGTTAAAGCAAACAGGAGGTACAGTTAAGGTAACTTGTAAGCAAATAATCATAAGAAAGAGCTGCTTGGAAAGCCCACGGCTGATACATGCATACTCCGACCAGAAGACGCCTTCCTGCCACCGCCGCCACCACCACCAGGTGAAGTCACGCATCAGCTTTCAAGTGTTTGCAAAAATTCAATCAGCGCAGTTGACCCCTTTCAGTAAATATTGACAGCACTCCCAGGCCAGGCAGTCTGAATGCTTTCAATTCCTGCCACCTCTCTGAGAACATCTCCAGCGGAGGTGTGCCCGTGGCTGACATTCCTGTCCCCCAGCACAGGGTTGCGGCAGCACTACTGATTCAGGCAGAGGTGTGCTCCTGTACCATCTCAGCCTCCCACCCAGGAGCACTTTTCTGCATTTATTCCCAGAAATCATTTTTTTTTTTTTAAGAGAACAAAACCCCCAACACTAACCAAGGTGCTACTTTTAGACCACTCAGAGGTACCTAGCTGACGAGCCAGCAGAAGGACTGTGAATTTACATTAGTTCACATCAGGTGGCAAATCTTTCACCTCTTCTTTCGCCTCACCAGATCCTAGGAAACAGGATGGGAAGGAACCCCAGGAACATCCAATCTATCTTCTCTAAAACCAGGTCTTACCTTTATGACCTTGTTTCCTTCAGCTGCTTTAAAAATCTCTGGTGATGGAGAGTCCAGCACACAACTTATGCTTGTTTTCAGAGTGGCCATCAAGTTTTCTCTTATCTCCACAGCAGAGGCAAGCTGTTAGCTGACATTTGGAAAGAATGGAGGAGATGCTGCTGCAGCACCACCTCTCTATCAGTTTAAATAGGAACTTTCCAGTCGAATTGATAGAGGAGCTGACTGGCTCATGTCTTGACTTGCTAATTAATTGGTGTGAGAAGCTGCTGATCACTCACAGGTGGTCCTGGAATCTTGAGGCTGCTCAACATCACTGAAGATTAGCCTCACTGGCTGGTGTTTCCTATTTATAATCTGGAAATTATTTTTTTTGAGGAAATTCTTCTGTAGGGATGAGAGCATTGGATTATTTCTCAGCCAGCTTCAGCCAGCTGATGAGATCAGGGCTGGGAGAGGTC